AAGTGAAATAGGTGAAGGGGATTAAGAGGTACAAACTTCCATTTATAAAATAAATAAGTCATGGGGATGACTTACAGCATAAGGAATATAGTCAATAATATTGTAATAACTTTGATGACAGACAGTAACTAGATTTATCGTCATGATCATTTATTGTGATGATCATGTATATAAATTCAAAATACTATGTTGTGCACCTGAAATTAATATAACACTGTATGTCAACTATATTTCAATTAGAAAAAAGAAAAAAAATGAATTTCTTATTAATAAACTGCTTCAGAGCTTTGGGAAAAATAAAAAATAAAAACTGACAAAAATAAATAACAATAAAAACTCATATGCTAGGAGGTGATATATGTTATGGGTAAGAAAAAAAGGCCAATTAAGGGATTGGAGAGTGAAGGGGGTAGAAATGGAGATTGCTATTTTATATCTTAAGTGTCCAGGGAAAGTCTCATTAATAAGGTGTCATTTGAGCAGACATCTGAAGGAAATGAGAAACAAACCGGGTCAGTATTCAGAGGACAAACACTGTAGACAGAGGGAACAGCAAGTACAAAGCCCTGGAGGTAGGATTTCAGACAAGTCAAACTTAGACTGTCCTAAACAGAATCATTACATTTTCTGACTGACTTATTTCACTTAGCATAATACACTCTAGTCCCATCCATGTTGTTGCATTTTCCTTAATCCCATTCCTATATTTCTCAGTTCAGTGGATGGCAACACTAACCAGCGCCTTGCCTAAGTCAGAAACTGCAGGGCATTGGTCTGATGGGTTATGTGCCTCCTGCATTACACTGGCTGATCTAAGGCCAGAATCTGTGTCTAGTTCACCGTTATGGATGTGGCACCAAATACAGAACCTGACACAGCAGTGTTCAGAGAGTAGAAACATCACTCTGATGGATGCTGGCAATTAAGCTTAATATTAGACCTGAAGATGCCTCATTTGACTATGTTAAACAAATATATGGTGAACATTAAGTTTGTGCTAAATCCTCTGTTGGGTGCTAAGGATACAAAGATGGCCAGAGATCCTCTGCCCTGGGAAACTTGGTCTGGCTCTGTACAATCAAAAGAAACTTCTGGGGGTGCTTACATGGCTCAGTCAGGCGTCTGCTTTTGGCTCAGGTCATGATCTTGGGGTCCTGGGATTGGGCCCTGTGTTGGGCTCCCTGCTCAGCAGGGAGTCTGCTTCTCCCTCTCCTTCTGCCCCTCCCTCCCCTGCTCACAAGCTCACTCTCTCTCTCAAATAAATAAAATTTTTAAAAAAGAAACTTGTGTATAAGAAATCATAGACTCGGGGTGCCTGGGTGGCTCAGTCGTTAAGTGTCTGCCTTCGGCTCAGGTCATGATCCCAGGGTCCTGGGATCGAGCCCCACTTCAGGCTCCCTGCTCAGCGGGAAGCCTGCCTCTCCCTCTCCCACTTCCCCTGCTTGTGTTCCCTCTCTCGCTGTCTCTGTCTGTCAAATAAATAAATCAAATATTAAAAAAAAAAGAAATCATAGACTCATGTGTGTTTATATCAAAAAATGGTTTCAAAGTCATGTAAGTTCTATAACTCTGAAGATCTGTACATTGGATCAGGAGACTAACAATAATAATAACAGCAACAGTAGCTAACATTTATTGAAGGCTTTGGATGTATCGGGTTCTGTGCTAAATACTTAAATTAAATACTTAATTCTTACCCCAGTTCTGTGACATGGGTACTATTATTATTCCCATTTTGCAGAAGAGAAAACTGAGATGCAGAGAGATAGAATAACTTGCTCAGGTCACACCACTCCTAAGTGATGGGGCCAGCATCCCAGCTCAGGCAGTCTAGTAGCAAAGTCACTACACTATTCTGCTTGCTTCACTGAGAAGGACAAACTTAGCTAGCTGAGCCTCAGTCTTTTAGCCAGACAGTCATGGTCTTATACACTTTGGCCCCAGACCTATCTTTTTTAGCCCTAGTTTTCAGTTCTTTCTCTCCCCCTATATCAATATGCACCAGGCCCAGGTGTCCAGAATCCTAGCTCTTGCCCTCTCACATTGATGGGCTTTGAACTGGGCAGAAATCCTTTCCTCACTTTTCCGACTTGATACAATCATCAAGGTCATCCCTCCATAGAACTTTTCTCTGATGCCCCTCCCCACCCTGGGGGGAAGGAAGCTCTTCATTTACAATGCTCCAGATCACTTTTGCCAGACTTCTAGTCTAGCTTTCAGCTCCTCTCAGAACTCCATCCACTGAGTGCCCATTCTCCCAGAGTATTACCACTGTACCCCCTCTTCCCAATGCCTATCACCAGGCCTGGCATAGAGGAGGTAGCCATGGAACATTTAGTAAAGAAAGAAAGAAGCACTGTATTCATGTGGACCAGTCTGTCTACCTGAGTTTATGGAATTGCCTCCATACAGCCTGCACATCTGTTCTCATAAGCTTTTCACTGCAGCCACATGACACCAAGCAGCAGAGGTATTATCTCCATTATGTAGGTGAAGAAACTTAAGACAAGAAAATATTCTTGCTCTCCCATGACTAGGCCCTATAGTGACCAAACAAGTTGACCATGTGTCAGTCAGCATGTGGAAGTGGGGCCTGGAGGACTCCCTCTTTGAGAAGGCATTTTGAGGTAAAAGTTTATGACCACACTTATTCTTCCTATACATTGTCCCTGAAGAAGAGTGGACCATACAAATCAGGATCTGTGCCACCCCACCACCACCCTTTCCTCCTTAATGCACATGTGCATAATCTCATACTGAGACTTAGAAATATCAGGACCAAGAAGAAGGGCACACAGCTGGGAGACATCTTTAGCATGTCAAAGACTACTTTTGTTTTTCTAAAACCCTATATCTTTTGGACCCAGGCCAATGTTCAATATCTGTCCATCCCAAGGCTAACTCGGATGATGGAATGTTTGGCAGCTGGAAAGAGGACATGGAGGACTAGCTCCTGTGACAGGAGTAGCACAGCAGTACCTCCTTGCCTCACGATTATTTCAAGCCCACCACTTGACTGCTTTGCACAGTTCCTCTCTCCCTATTCCCACAGTGGAGACTGCCCTGGCCCTGTTTTTCCCTGGGCTCCAGATTTGGAAACTGTCTTCTTCAAATTGTAATATTTGGCCTACTTCAGAGAATCAGGGTTCTAGGTGAAACATGAACAAATGGCAGGCAACCAGAGGCACAAGGCAGTTGCAGAAGCATATGGAGGAGGTGCTAGAAAAAAGACACCTCCAAATCAGGTCCAACAAATGAGAATCAGGATTTTGCAAAGCAGGAAAGCACAGCTCCAAGGAAATATTATAGTTCAGACATCCAGATGGGGAAACTAAAGCTAGGGAGGAGAAGGTACTTGCCCAACAAAGTCACACAATGAGCCAGTGGCTCCCGACTACCTGCCATTTACCTAGACCCAGGACCAGAATAGGAGGTCTGATGTTCAAGTTGCTCATTTTGGTTGGAGATGTATAGAATGTCATGGAAGATCATAGAACATCATGGAATATTAGAGAAAGAATTGAGTTCAACTATCAGAGTTGGAAGAGATCAAGGAGCTTGATCAATCTTATACCCTGCTTGTGGAGATGAGGTGATAGACTGTCCCAGAGAGGAAAATGGACTAGTCAAGGTCATACGACAAATCTGAGGTAGAGCTGGAGCCAGATCCCAGCCCTAGCAAGCCATGTCATTTCCTGTGCTCCACACATGGCAGAGGCAACTGTCCTCCTCTTTCCACTCTAGCAGCTGGATCTTTTCAAGGCAGACAGGAATACTCCTTTTGCAATGCAAAAATAGCAGGCATTGTTCTCTAATCTCTTCCCTCTCCTCAACTTTAATCCCCCCACCCTTTTCAGACATTCACAGAGTTTTAGGGTAGGGCCTTCTGGATATTCTTGAGCTAGTGGTAGAACTGGATTCTTTATTGCCTCAGCTCACTAGTTAGTCCTTGGCAGCCACTTACTGCCCTCAGGCTAGTTAAGACCCAAGCTCAGGCTGGCAACCTGCCACATCCCAAACACAGAAGCCAGCAAGGCTGGTACAGGCCTCCTCATTCCACCTTGACCTCCAGTCTGGGCCCAGACAAGATTTTTCTCTCAATTTCTAGACTTTTCAGGGACAGGAAACTGCACAAAGCCTGGCTTACCATGAAAAGGTTGAGGGGCCCTCTAGAGGCCTTGGAGATCCCCTCTGGTTCCATGAAAGTGGGAAATTTGGGTGAGGGTCAAACTACAGGAACAGGTCTCTCCAGAGAAAAATAAAAGCAGCCTAGGACAGGAACCTGGGGTTCTGAATTCCAAATCTGCCCCTGTCGCTGGCAGGCTAGGTGACCTGAGGGAAGTGCCTTCCCTTCTCTGAGCAACAGCAGGCCCTTGGGTAACGGGTGCAAACTGACCTCGATGGTCCCGAAGGGCTCTGGTGTGCCTGAGAGGCCAAAGCTGGGGCATGGACGCTGCAGTTGGCTTTCCTGGCAGGTGAGTCCCCCCTCTGCTTGGCCTGGGGGCGCGCGCCGCGGGGCCCTATCTCTACACCTAAGGTTGGGCCCAGCGAGGCGCCAAGGGGCTTTGCAGTCCCCCAGGTTCCCCAGCCTCTCCGCCCCGCCTCTCCTCGCCCTCCTCTTGCTCTGGAATAAACTGCCGGGTGGCGGCCTGGGCGCCTCAGCACGATTGCATAGCGTCCACGGAAATGGGAGTGTATGCAAAACCGAAACCGAACTCCAGGGCTCCAGCGAGCCCCAGCCGGGCGGGACCGGCCCAGCGAGCTCACTGGGTCTCCCAGCCACGATCCGCCCAGTGTGGGGGCGGGAATGGGGAGTCCCAGCAAGGGGTTCTTCACGCTCTCCGCCTCCTGCAAACACCACGCCCGCGCTTATTTGCATTTAAAGGGCAATGCACCAAGGAAAACAGTGGGCGGGGCAGGACACGCCTTCCCACCGTGGCGATTGGGCCACACTTCTGCCAATCAGGGCGCGGACGCCCCACCCTGTGGCTGTGGAGTCCGTGGGGAGGGGGTATGGGGAAGCTGCCCCAAGCCTGGGGAAGGGGACGCAGTGCAGGAGGTGACTAGAGCCGTGGAGGCGGCGGCGGCGGGAGCAGCGGTGGCGGCGATCTCAGCCACAGCAGCCTAGGCTCGAGCCCCGGCCCGGGCGGCGCAGCAGACAATAACCGGGCTGGAAACCCGACCCGGCCGGGTAAGCGTTGCGCGCAGCCGGGAGCCTCCGCCTGCCCGCCGTCCGGTGCAGTCCCCTGTGCTCCGCTCCGGCCGCCTGAAGAGGGGCTCCAAGGGCTGGGCCAGTGGGCGTCCGGGCCGCTCTCCGTTCCCCCTGGGAACCCGCTTTGAGGACTTGGCTGGTGAGGGGCAAAGCAGAGTCCTCTGGGCGCCGGCGACCGCGGCTAGAGGGGGTTACAGAGGGCGGGCAGGCAAGCAGGCTAGCCTGGGCCATGCCTCCGGGCTCTCGGGAGAGGCGGGGATGAGGCCCCGCACGTGCTACCGCACGGATCCCGGAGGGGAGCCGCCAGCCAGCACCCCCAGCGGTGCATTTGTAGGCCGGGAGCTCTGCAGCTTTGTTGTAGCACATTATTAGCTGGAACAGCTGTGTTACGTGGGTATTGCTCACCCCAGCGGCCCAGCTGCCTCCCCTTCCCTCCCCTGCGCATCCCCTGCCTCCTTCTCCCCTCTGCGGATGGAGGCAGCGCGCTGGCCTGGGCCCAATGGATACTGGCTTTGGCGTGGATTGGGCTGTCCACACTGTCTGCCTCCTCTCCCAGGGAGCTGAGTTGGGCCTGTGTGCTGCCCACTTAGGAACCTCGGCCTTGCGGGCCCCAACCAGCCTCACCCCCTGCTCCTGGGCCTCCAAGCACATCTGGCGCCCGCCCCCGTGGGCAGGCGGGCTGGCAACGGAGTTCTTGCTGGACCTTAGGTTAGAGCTGCAGCTCAAGCTAGTCCTTGGGTTAGATCTGCAAGGCCGCTTTGTCCCCACTCGCCTCACCTCCTCCACTCGGAGAGCACTGGCCGCTTTTTTCTTTCCTGCCTCCCGTTTAAAAATAGCGATAAGCCTCCTGTTGGTGGGGGGGATTTCTGTGCCAGAGGCCAAGGGAGCAATTATTGTAGTAAAGAACTCACCCTTTGGGTCTGTGAGAGAGCTAGAGAGACAGCCAAACCCTCCAACTTCACAGTTACTTAAAATACACAGCCTGCTGAGCTGCTGTCATTGTCTACTGCAGACACCTCTGACACTGGTGACCACCTGACTGCAGGACTTTGCCCAGGTTCCCTGGTGAAGAGGGGCTGTGCCCTCCATGCGCTCCCCAGTCCAGGTGCCCAGGTAGCAGCTGGACTGGCCCTGCAGAGCTGGCCTCGGTTTGGTCAGACTCATCTTGTCATGGCCCACAGGGTCAAGGGGAGCCTCCTCCTACACACAAATATTTCCCTCTGTGGCTCTGTCGGCCTGCTGCATAGGCATGGATATGGGCTAGGTGGAGGGCACTGTGCTATTGGATTCCCTGCCCTACCCGAGGGCATTTTAGCAGAGCCCTCTACCCCCAGTGCAGCTCCCCTCATTCGGCCCCACCCACCGCTCAGTCACTGCACCATGGTTTGCGTCTGGCAATAAACTCTAGGCCTTTCCAAAGAACAGGAGAGAGGGAGTGACCAAGGGGCCTGGCAGGCTCTTCTTGGACCTTTGACAGCTTCTGAGGGTGGAGAACCCTGTGGGCTGCAAAACCTGGGTATTTGAGAGGAGTAAATCCCTCACTTGGGGGAAGGCTAGCTGGGGACCTTTGTGACACCAGCCAGGACTGCAGATAATACACTATAGTCACTTCTTGCCACTTTGACCAGGCACCAAAGGAAACCAACTTTTTGCAGCTGGGTATCTCCACCTCAGGGCTGGACCTGCTGTCTGCCCTGCCTCAGACCAACAGTCTCCTAATATATCTTCCCTATATAACTCCCCTTCTCACACACAAATCCATTCACCCTGCACTGTGCAAATTGTTTTCCCTCTCAGGCCCCAGCTCTGAGCCCACCTTCTCCTGGGTGTCTTTTCTGTCTGTCTCTTGCAACCCATAATGACCTCTTCTTGCTCAGAACTCCTACAAGCTTGCCTGCATCCCTTGGCCATTTGGGGGCTTAAATTTTAATAGGAGGCAAACTATAATTAAGTTTCCCTGCCTCTAATTTGTCTCCTTGATACCATGGATGTCTGGATTCTCTCAGAACCCCTCAGAGGGGTAAATGAAACCTTGAACTCAGCCACAACCCCCTTCAAAGCCTAGCAATGTATAGCAGTTCATGAATGGTCTAGAAAGACTTGCTGTCTTTGTGGAGCTTTCAAGAAGACCTTTACCTCTCCAAGTTGCACTTGTCCCGATCCATATGAAAGTGATTAGAGAAATGATACTCAAGGCTCAGATATTTATTGAGTATGCCTAATGAGAATGGAGAAGGGCGATGGGTTGCAACTACAAGAAAAAAAATTAATCATGATACCTCCCTTCAGCAACAAGCACAAGATCTGTACTGCCCATACCCCAGACTACACATATCTTTGGTTGCTAATTCATGAGCCTAGAGACAACTACTGTGGAGAGAGGAGAAATCTGTATTTGCAGGGTGATCACCCTGGAAGCTTCCAGAAAGTAGAGGGGTTTGGCTAGGCAAAGTAGTGGTATAAGCAAAATTAGGAATTGGAAGGGGTTGTTGGCAGCCAGGCTGAGAAATATGACTTAGTCTTTTCTGGTTGAGATTGTTGGATTTAAGGTAGAGAGGAGGTTAGTGCCCAGTGGTGGGCATTCCCAAATGCTAGGCTATGGAATGGGGGTCTGATCTTGGGAGAATGGGAGAAGGGGCCATTGAAGAATGGAAAATTGGGAGGTTTTGATACTTCTATGTGTGGGTGCAAATATGCGATAATAATATGGAATTTTAGAAAGGGGTCTTAGAGATTGGAAGCATGCTGTAAGTTGGAACTGTAAGAGGTCACCTTTGGATCTGGACATAGAACTGAGGGACAGCTATTTCTGGAGGGAAGTTGTACCATGTTGGCTTCCTTTAAGCCTTGCAGGGGGTGAAGTTGAAGGAGGGTGCCTAGAGTCTACATACCAATGTGGTGGAGGCTAAGCATCCCCCAGGCCTCTGTTGATCCCCATCCTTCCAACTGGACAGGGCTTCAGGGAGCATCAGTTTGGACTCCTGTGCTTACAAGGTGGAAAAACTGAGTCCTGGAAAGCAACAAGGATTTCCTTAAGATCACACAGCATTTAGGGATAGGCTGCTGCCTCCTGTGCAAGGGCTCTTACACTGTGTCCCACTGTCTCCAGTGGCCTCTGTTCAATACAAATCTTATTAACCAACCTCTAACCTTCCTCACCTCTTCCATTCCTCAGGAGTGAGAAGGTGCTGGGTTTAGCTTGGGGGCCCCATCTGGAGAACTCTACCTCCCCTTTCATGTCTATTTTGCTTTTTGGCCTTGGTCTGCAGCCTGTTGGGGGTGAAAGTTTCAGAAGGAGGGGAGGTATCTGGAAGAAGTTGAAAGTCCAATGATTCTCTCTTAGTATAGTGGAAGTGTTAAAAATTCCTCAAGAACTGTTACATTTACACTCTCTGAAAGTGTGTGTATGAGGCATGGGGGCAGCCCTGCTCCCCTGGTCCAGGGGAATAAGGAAATAAATAACAGTAAGCCTGGCAGGTCACTGACTTGCTTGTAGAACCAAAGAGGGAAAAAGGGCTTCCAGTCCCCTCACTTACAGATAGGCTACTTGAGGCTAGAAGAGGGCATGCCCAGTGTTATTCCATCACTTGAATCAGTTATCCAACTTGAATCAATCCAGGCAGATAAACTAGGTGATAAAGGTAAAGCCTCCAGATGAGACATTTCCTCCCTGTGTCACTCATTCCTTGGTCACACATCTCACACTGCCAGGAAGTTCTTTCTCAGGGCTAATCTGAGCCTCTCATGCTATACATAAACCTGTGTGCATGCACATGTGCGTGCATGCATGAGTGCATGTGTGTGTGTGTGTGTGTGTGTGTGTGTAAGTGTTGGGGGGGGGTGAGGTTGAGGGCAGCTGGCTATCATTGCTCCCGCTTAACAAACCACTGGAGATTTCATGGGCATTAAATCGTCTCTCCCCACTCCCAACTTCTGTTCTCTGAATTAAATAATCTCAGAGCTTGTCATCTCCTCTCCTTGGTCATATTTTTCAAACCTGTGCATGTGTAAGTGTATCTCCAGGAAGAAAGTTAGGGAAACCAAAACCACTGAGGAGGTGCAGGTGCCATCTGAGTGAGGGTGCATTGCTTCTCCACACCTCCCCTTTTGGGATTAGGGGATAATTATGGACAATGAAAATAATATGAGGGGGCTTGGTGGCAGCAGAGGCAGGCATACTGGTGCTGCAGGGGCATCTGGGACCTTTTGATCTGCAGTTCTTGTTGCAGAGCCTTCAGTGCTTTCATCTCCTACAGTTTTTTTTTTTTTTTTTCCCCTGCTGTGCTTCCAAACAGATACTAACCCAACCCAGCACTCCTCAGCCCTCCCTGCTGGGGGCTACTCAGGGGAGAGAGGGCTGGACCAGACCAGTTCTGGTCCCCCTCCCCTCTGGACATATAGGAAATATTTACTGGCCAGGCCTAGTGCATTTTGAAAAAGTAAAGTGTTGGGCAGGATTCTGTGGAGGGAGGCATGAGAAGTGAGGCTGGGCTGTAGTGCAGTGGTGGACTGAGCCCAACCAGTTAGGCATGCAGGCCTCCCACTGAAGCCTAGGACCCCCAAAATCACATGCCTCCTCTTTCTTTTTTTTTTTTTTTTAGATTTTTTTTTTTTTTTTTTTGACAGAGAGACAGCGAGAGAGGGAACACAAGCGGGGGGAATGGGAGAGGGAGAAGCAGACTGCCCGCTGAGCAGGGAGCCCGATGTGGGGCTCTATCCCAGGGCCCTGGGATCATGACCTGAGCCGAAGGCAGACGCTTAACAACTGAGCCACCCAGGCGCCCCACATGCCTCCTCTTTCTGCAGCCACTAGAAAACTGGGCACAGGACTACCCTTCTCCCAGCTTCTCACACAGCCTGGGGCAAGCAGACCCCCTAGTACAATTTCCCATTTCTAGATAGGGAAACTGAGGCCCTGAACAGGGAGGGGATTTGCTCAAGGTTACACAGGAGCATAAAGTTCTTGCCCCTCAGTTCAA